TCTTCCATCCCCTCCCCACTCTGTTTTTCTTGAGAGAATTTATTACCCCTGACATCATATTGCCTCTTCCATTAGCACATAAGTTTCACAGGGGCAGGGATTTTTGTTTGTTTGTTTTTCTCTTTATTCTAAGCATCTATAACAGTCTTAGGTACATAGCTGGTATTCAATAAACATTTGTTCAAAGATCGTACACCAGGAACATTGGGAGGGTGAATTCTGCTTGCTGGTGGAGAAGGGTGAGAGGCACAGTTCCCCGCTGCCGGCAGGTACATGTTTGGGCCAGTCGGTCCCAAGCAGAATTTTAGCCTTCACCTCTGCCTTCACCTGGGCAGCCTGATGCTTGCATATCTGTTTGGGGCAACGGTGGTAAGGCACGCTCTATGGCTGTAGTAGAACCCTAATGCTCCAGGCTCTCCTGCCCAGATCCCTGGATTCAAGGGCCACCTGGTCTGAAAACTCAAATGCTATCGTAACCCCCCCCGCCCACTCCGCCACCGCCGCCCCAGCACTGGGCTATGCTTTCTATCCTGGGCCTGGGGCATATGGGGTGGTATGGGGCACGGGAAGCCATGACTTCCCGGATTCACCTTTTTACTTAATGCTAATTCACTTGAAGCATCATTGTTATAGAAAACCAACCTCAAATACATCACACCATAGAAAGCACAGTTCCCATCCTTTACAAAAGGGGGCACTGAGGACATTGGAGAAGTTTCACTGGCTCTGGAATAGGGGCCAGTGTACCTTCGCTTCGCAGATCTGCCCTTCTGAGCTTTGCAGGAAATGTTTAGATGCCCTATTAGGGCTTGGTGGGTGGAGGTGTTGCACTGGAAACATTTTCTCATCAAAGATGAGCTCCCCTGTGTGTAAGAGCCTTGCTTGCAGTGGAAGCTCCATTGCTAGTAGGTAACGAATGTGCCCTAGGAGATGGGCTGGGGGAGGGAACACCTGCTTGGAGTTGGGAGAACTGGGTTCTAGCCCCATCTTTTCTGAGTCAGCCACTTCCCTGCTCTGAGCCTCATACCCCTCCATGGCTGGACTCCATCTGTGAGGTCCCCTCTCAAAAGTTTGTGGGCATTAAAGTCCCAGGAGAAAACCAGTCCCGGCAGAGCTGCACGCTGGCCAGACAAAGCACAACTAGTTCCCTCCTCGGCTTCGTCAGTCCCATGGAGAGAAAATGGCCAATTCTTTTGCCAGAAACACCTGAGTGATCCCTGACATCATTTGGCATTCATAGCTGGCTCTGAGGAGTGGCAGGGTGTTCCGTTTGCTCATACAGGCCTTGGGAACCTGTGGCAGCTAGAGGGTGTTCAGCGTTGTTGAGGACAGACGAGGTGGAAGGAGAAGAGCCCAGAGGCCGGAGGGAGCCATGATGTGGGGGCTGGCCAGGTGGGCCAGAGAGCAACTGGGCTTCCCCTCCCAGGCCAGAGTAGGCAGTTTCTTTATGGATGTGGTGCGATGTTACTCATCCCTCAAACTTCTCATCCCACCTATCCTTCATGAATATCACGATGTAAACAGTTTGACTTGGAGCAGTCCCCCAAGAATTGACCTTGTGTGTCCCCCTCTGTGACAGTTTTAAAATGTGGCCCCCAAATTCTTTGACCCTCTTCCCATCAAGAATTGAAATCTGTCTCCCTTTGCCCTGAATCTGGCCTTGTGACTACTTGACAAATGAATACAGTGAAAGAGGTACTGTGCCAACTTCTGGGCCCAGGCCTTCAGACACTGGCAGCTCTCACTTCCTGTCTCTTGGGACACTCACTCTTGGAACCCAGCCACTGTGCCCAGAGAAGCCAAAGCAGCTCTTCGGGACGAGAGGCCCACGTGGAGAGGAGCCCACAGCCCTGGCTGCACTCCCGGCTGACTAGCACCAGTGTGCCAGGCCTGGGGGACCGCTGTCCTGGGCACCCCCAGTCACGTCGTCCCATCTGACAGCACGTGGAGCAGAGGTGAGCTGCCCCACCAAGCCCTGCCCAGGCTGCAGATGCATGAATGACCACTGTCCCATAAGCCGCCATGTCTTGGTGTGGTTTGTTATTTGCAATAGAAAACAGGCCCACCTGTCTCTGGAGAGCAAGCCCTTCAACCTCCAGATGGTTGCACATATTTTCCTTAAAATAGCACCTGTCCCAGCCATCCTGTAGACTCTTCTTTCTTAGGCAAAAGACTCTCAGCCCATCTTTCTAAATGAAGATGATGATTAGCAGGAATTTTATTCCTAGAAGCCCACTCGCCACTTCTCTCATTTTATGTCTCCTTACAATCCTCTCCTCCTATTTACATGTCTTTCCTCTTCCAATGGACACCTTCATCCCAGCCTCAGCTCCTGCATCCCCACCAATGGACTTCACTGCGTGTCTTAGTACAATCTCGGAGTGTGCATGTGCATGTGTGTGTGTATGTGCATAGTGTGTGCAGAGCATAGTGTTGCAAACATTGCACCCGCAGTCAAGGAGCTGAAGGTTTCGATTGCTGACATTTTTTTGTGGATCAATTGGAGAGCAATCATTCTTCTTTTAAGATATTTTAAAACTAAAGTCAACCTTTTCATGTTATGCCATTTTGTGTTTTTCAAATTTTCTAACATGGACATGAATTACTTTTGCAATGAGGAAAATAAAACTCACTTCCAATACCAACACTCAGAGTTAACCAGAACTCACATCCTGGTGAATTTCCTTCCAGTCTTTTGCCTTTACTGAGACATCTGTTGGGTGTTTGAGATCATCCCATAAATACAGTTCTGGGTCTTGACTTTTCACTGTACTATGTATTTCAAGAGTCTCTCTCTCTCAACAAATACTTTCTCAAACCTGATTTTTAATGGCTTTATAGTGTCCTATCAGATATAGTGTTCTTTATAATGTTCTACCATATATAATTCCTTTAATTCCTTTAGCAAAATTTACGTGATATTTAGATTGTGATATATATGTGTGTGTGTGTATATATATATATTCACACACATATGCTTTAGTGTGTATATATGTGTGTGTCACAACTTTGTACATGAACTTCTAAATCTTTGAACCTTTAAATTCTTGAATGTTTTCACTTTGATTCCTAGAAGTGAAAGTTCCGGTTAAGCCCTAGAACTTTTGGGAGGTCCTTGATCTACAGTACAATGTGGCAGAAGCCTTCCCTTCAGAAATATCTACTTGGCTGCAGGAACTGTCTCCTTGCTGCCAGGGCATCTCTTGCCCTTTTATTCCTAGGAAAGAGCCAAGGATTGGGAAGTTCAAGGGAAGAAAAAAATCAGGTGAAGATATGGGAGAAAGTATGCTGATGGCAGAAAAAAACTCCTAAACTAGTTTATAACGTTTGAATGGCTCGGGAGGCAGTTTTTGTTTCCTAGTCTAATAAGATGAAGGAAGAGAACCAGCAATAGTCACATGGATTGATGCCTTCCATATATGACTTCACTTGATCCTCACAGGGCTCCTGAGTCATTATTATCCCTGTTCTATCGACAAGGAAACTTTGGGATCCGACAGGTAAAATAACCTGCCCAGGGTCTGACAGCTGGTAAAGGTGTCGTGGCTGTGGACCCAGGACTGTCCGGCTCTGGAGCTAGCAAAACACACCCTGGCCTCGCCCTGCATTTCCACTGCAGTGTAGGGGAAGGTGAGTGGGCTCTGTCCCGCCCTTACTCTTTCTGCCTCCCTGGCCCTGTTTGCTCGTTCTCCATTTGAACAGGAGGAATGAGATGAAGACAAAGGAGCCTTTTCCCAGCTGTCACACAGTGTGGGAGATACATCCCCGACGTGATTGAACCTTTTTCTTTGTCTGCAAATATCTGAATCTGAGTGAAGCCTCCTATATCCCACGACCCTGCTTGGATGACCTTTGGCAACCCCGCTGGGCAGAGGATTGATGGGTTGCCGGGGAGTCCTCTGTGCCGCTCTGACCTGCATTCTTTCAGCACATGTTGTCTAGGAGCATAAGCCCCCAGCATGTGTGGTGAGGGGAGGGAATCCGGCAGATCAAGGAGTATTAATAATGCAGCCACTGACTGCTAGGCCTGTTCGCAGAGTCTGTGACAGGAGCAGTGCAGAGGGCAGCCGAGGGCAGAGGGCTGTGCGTGCCCCTCTGAACCCTGTGTTTAAACCCTAGCATACCACAGGAGGATTGCTCCTTAATCAGAGCTTTGTTCAAACCCTCCCTCTCCTAGCCACTAAATTGCATCTCTTACCCCTTCAGATTTCCTTTGCAAAATGTGTCCTTTGGGGAGCCACCCCAGATGGACCCCACATGGCTCTATTTAGATGTCTCATTCCATTTGGGTAGCCTCATCTGGAGGTGACATTCAAGCTATTTAAAAACAGTAAGAATGACTCTAGTCCTAGACCATTCTTAACAGACAGTCAGCTCTGAAGGCAGGAGCTGGCTCCCAGAGGCCCTGTGCAGGGGCAAGTGTTAACCCTTTTGTTGCTGTTAACCCTTTTGTTGCTGGACTCAGGGAGGTCACTGAAGGTGCCAGGAAAGAGTGGGTGGCTGAGGGCACTAGTGGGGCTCATGGTAGTGGCTATTTCCCAAGAGATGCAGAAGTTTTTCAATATTTTAATAATTGGTATGGCTGTACCAGTGCATACAGGTTTGGCTGAGGGAAAAAATGGAGACTTGCCCATGGTTTCTTAGGGTCACTGCAAGTGTGTCTTTCCTGAACCCTCTGTAGATGTGGCGACAGGTTCTTCTTCCTCTGCATGTCCATACAGAGCGTAATATCAGTTTCTGGAGTTATATTCAGTAACTGCCATGTTCTAGCTCATCAGGGGTGAGCCTCATGTGACCCAAAGGCCGTGCCCAGTTCCACAAATGAGGTGTCCTCCATCTTCACTTCCCTCCATGGCAATATGTACTTCCTGATGTTTCTCTCATAGCAGGCAGCCAATCAGAGGTGGCCAAAAAAAAAAAATGGTTGGCTTTTTGTTGGGTTCAATCTGCATTAAATTCCATTAGGGAATTTAAAGGTAAGACCTGCCATTCTCATAGACAGTGTGGTCAATGACACATTCTCTCTCCGCAGTGGGTTTGACCATTCCTCTTCTTCACAGTGGCAAGACACTGGCCTGAGAGACTAGAGGCTACTCCACTGCCAGCAGCTACAAGGCCTTGGGTGAGAATTTCCCTCTCTGGGCTTTGCTTTCCTTCTCTGCAAAACAAGTGCTCGGAAGAGTCGATCTCTCAGCTTCTGCTCAATTTCTCAGTTTCTGAAATGGTTTGATCCAGTGGTTCCCTTCCGCTGCTGCAACGATGTTGAGAAGGTTGGCTGGAGAGCCAGGTGGGCTGGCTTCCAATGCCAGTTCAGCCACTCTCAAGCTTTGGGCATAACAGTAGGATTCTAGTGAAGGTTAAATAAGTTCACACAGGTAAAGTGTTTAGAACACATGGTCCTTAGTAAACCCTCAATGAATATTACCTATTTTTGCTGCCTCTGCTTATCAGTAGGTTTTGTGAAGGCTGGAATCTTATCTGTATTAAGTGATATCTAAAGCTGCCATATTCTAATCCCTAGCTGAGTAACCCATGAGCATGTTCCCATCAGGGTCTCTCTCCTGTATTAGAAGGAACAGAACTGGGCTGGGCGTGGTGGCTGTAATCCCAGCACTTTGGAAGGCCAAGGCACACGGATCACCTGAGGTCAGGAGTTCGAGACCATCATGGCCAACATGGTGAAACCCCCATCTCTACTAAAAATACAAAAATTAGCCAGGTTTGGTGGCTGGCACCTGGAATCCCAGCTACTCGGGAGGCTGAGACAGGAGAATCACTTGAACCTGGGAGGTGGAGGTTGCAGTGAGCCAAGATCTTGCCATTGCCCACTCTAGCCTGGGGAACAAGAGTGAAACTCCGTCTCAAAAAAAAAAAAAAAAAAAAAAAGAAAACCCCGTGTCAAAAAAAAAAAAAAAAAAAAAGAAGGAACAGAAGTGACATGCACTGAGGTTTCACTCTGTCAGATAGACCCTGTACCAGACACCGAACATGTACCATCTCACGGATCCTCATAACAATGGCAAGAGCCAACACGTGTTCTCCCCTTGCTCTACTCCTACGGAAATGGATGGAGGCTCACAAAGATGAAAGCCACATGGCTAATAAGTAGTGGATTATGGATTCAGACTCAGTTCTGCAGGGCTCCAAAGCCCATGCCAGGGCGAACAAAATGAATTCCTCTGGAAAGACAATTCATGATCAGCCCAGGCTCTTCCCAGGGTAGAAAGCTGATACCTACATTTGTTGAAGGAAGCCATGCTGTGGGTCAGCGCAGACAGCATTTCCCCTGAAGCCTTCTCCCTCTTCTTTCAAGCCAGGCTTAAGGATCTGAACAACAAAGGGAGATGAAAGAACCTTATTGATGAAGTCCTCTATCCTGGGAAGAAGAAGTTTAAAAAATAAAATAAAAATGAAGAATGGAGTTGGCAGGGGGCCGTTGATCGGGGAGAGAACAATCCTTGGCAAATATCTTCGGTTAATAAATTCCATTTGCCTCTAAAATGTGTGCCAACTATCTAAGCAGGAAAAAAATTTCACACACCAGGTCAAACCATTGCCAAAAGGCCTCTCCAGTCTGCCTGCCCACATCCCCTGTTTCCATAATCTCCCAGGAGGCAGCCTCCTGTGGACTCCTGTGGTCTTCCCCCTGGAAGGCTGACCTTTTTCATGAAGGAGATTCTGGGGGATTTAGGCATGTTCTCCTCCTAGGCCCAGGAGAATGTGTTCTATTGACCCTGCAGGTCTTTATGCATAACTATCTTCCCCTTCCCCTTCCCCCTCCCCTCCCCTTTCCTTCCCTCCCCTTCCCCTCCACTTTCTCTCCCCTTCCTCTTCCCTCCTCTCTCCTCCACTCTCCTCCTCTCCCCTCTTCTCCACTCTCCTCCCCGCCCCTTCCCTCCACTATCCTCCCCTCCCCTCCCCTCCACTCCCCTCCCCTCCCCTCCCCTCCCCTCCCCTCCCCTCCCCTCCCCTTCCCTCCCCTTCCCTTTCCTCCCCTCCCTTCTCTCCATCTTACTGAACCAGGAGGTAGGAAACTTTTCCCATCTCTCTCCTGCTTCCCTCTGAGGTTCACTCACCTCTTCTCAGTCAAGAGTAACTCTTTCTTTCTCTTAAATCTGCTTGGTTTTGTTGGGTTGGGAGAAATGAGTTTTCCTGCACCTCCAGCCTTCTGCCTTCACTCATGAATAAATTCAACACATTTTCTGCAGGGCCTACTGGTGGCTTCCATTTTGAAAAAATGCACCAGGTCTCAATATTAGATTTGGAGACAATTACAGTTTGTGCCAAGGACTTGTTCATTTTTTTTTTAATTGAATTTGCTTAGGGATATGACCTCTTAAAGGTCCTGTGGGTAGATTTATGCCAAAACATACACCATTCAGGGACTCATGAAGCCAGCTGGGGAATATCTGGATGAAAAAGAAAGGCATTTGTCAACATTGTTCTGCCAAGCTGGAGAGCAAATGTAGGTCTAGTTTAAACTAAAATGAAGCCAGAGAGTTGATTATCTTTTCCCCTAGATGGACCATCGTTCTACCTCCAGCTCAACTTTTCCCTTTCTGGAATACAGAGAGGCTGACTTCCACCACATGGTCATCCAGCCCAACTGGGAGAGTGCATCCAGTATGGCTGCTTGTTTCAGAAAGAAGCATGCTCGCTCTCCTATGGCTGGACCTTGGGGCAGAGCTACTCTTATTTTTCCCTCTGGTGTACTTTGGAGACTTTTTGAGAGCCTGATGATTTCTTTTAATTTTTTTTTTTTTTTTTTTTTTTTTTTTTTTTTTTTTTTTTTTTACTTTTTTCTTTTTTCTAATAGAGACAGGGTTTTGCTATGTTGCCTGGGCTGATCTCTAACTCCTGGCTCAAGCAAACCTCCCTCCTCTGTCTCACAAAGTGCTGGAATTCCAGGCATGAGCCACTGTGCCTGGACTGAGCCTGATGATTTCTTATTCCATGAGGTCATAGAAATTGGAGTCTTTGGGTGGGTAAGACTTCTCTGGGGTCAGAATACCCAGAGCCCAGCCCCTATTCAAGTTAACCCTTCCTTCCTGTTTCTCTTCTTTCAGCAACTGTTTTTGATGCTATGTTCCTTGCATGGTGCTAGATGCCAAGGATGCAATGAAAAATAAGAAAGACAGGTTCTTGCCTTAATGGAACATGCTGTCTGGTGAAAGAGAGAGACGGAAAGCACCAATAGGAGTCAGCTGGTGTAGCACAGCAAGCGCAGCAAGAGCCACCTGCAAAGTTTCTGATATCACATGTTTTGTCTTTTGTCATTAAAAGTTTCATTTTAGCATAAACTCTTTGAGAGTCAATTCTGACACTTTTATTGGAGTTGGAATGGGGCAAGGGGTGGGAGCCGGGGCTGCCAGGGCCATCTTGCTGCCCCCAGGGAGAACAGATCTGAGGTAGAGACAAGCAGAGTGAGCGGAACTGAGAGATGAGCAAAGAAAAGCAGGGCCCTGGTGAAAGAATGTTACGACATCCTGCCTCTGCTCCATTCCTAGAGTTTGCAGTTCACACGCAAGCCAGTATGTTCCCTTTTGTCTTTGATAAATGCGTGTAATGAAACAAGTGAATAAACACAAGTGTTCATGGACACAGCACAGGCACCTGCTAAGCTGGCCACCTTGGGTCTGGTTTCCTGATGTCCTAAGAAGCACCAGCTTCCTTAATCCCCTGGGAGACCCTGTGAGAATAGGAGATAATGTGATGGTTAACTGCTGAGAATTCTCAGCCTGCCTACAACGGCCTTGAATCAGCAACACATGAGGCTTCCAGATTAGTGAGTACTTAGACATATAGTGGAGTATGAGCCAAAGGTGAAAGAAAAGGAGACAAAGAGGCTGCAGAGAGAGACAGGCAGGAGCGAGATGGTGTGAGGGAGGTGGGAGATGGGTGCTCTTTCTAGATTCCTGTGCAGTAAGGCTCTGCTGGGAAGCCTGTGATTCCATGGCACTCGAACGTGTGGGTCACTGATGGAACTGGGTGCTCCACATCACATAAGCCCTGTGAGCATTAAAATAACAATCTCCATGTTGTGGCACCTGCAGAGAAGTATCAAAGGGGTTGAAGCTGTTCAGGCAGGAGAAGGTGAGGAGCCTGAAGCTATGACCTGGCAAGTGAGTGTGAATGCCTGTCTTCCAGTCTAAACCATCAGGGTGGGGCCCAAGTCCTACTCATCTCAGTAACCGTCAGAGGATCTGGCACATAGAAAGAGCTGGAATAAAATGTGTTTTGTAAATAACAAATTGAAAGATTGGGCTACACTTGGGACTCAGGAGCTAGTTCAAACCCTGGTTTGGAGAAGAAAGGTGGATCCTTGGAGAGATTCCAGCCTGCTGGACTCTTCCTTCCACTGGGTAGAGTTGGCAGGGACTGCAGGTTAGTTTCCCTGACGCAGGGTCCTCTTGCCATGCTTCACTGTGCTGCAGGGTGAGGACACACCTGCAGGTTAAAGGGGCATGTTTGGAGAGAACCATGGTTAGGAGCCTTGTGGCATCCTGGCCTGGCTTCCCTGCCTTCAAGGACCAACAACGATGAACTCTGTCTTGGAGCAGCTGGGCCCTTTTCATCGCCGTCCGGGCTACAGTATTTCCAGATGATTCTCACATTACAGTTTCTGAATGTCTGCCTTTGCCTACCTCACTCCCCCGCCCCTCCACCCACCCACCCAGTTAGCTACTGGATAGCAATTCCAGTGTCTCAGTGGGATTCAGTGGGGTGAGAGGGAATGCATTGCTATCCTGTACCTCGAACCTTCTCTTGGCAAAAAAAAATTCCATCTTCCCCCAAAAGAGTGGAAGAAAAATGACTGCTGGAATAGCAGAGCTGGAAGATTTAAAGGCTTCTTGGGATAATTAAAGACTTAGGCTCTAGCCCACACCAAATCATTGATTAGTAGGGGGCTCTTGAGCAGTTCAAATCAATTTATTCATTCATTCAACAAGCACTGAATGATTACTACCTGTCAGGCTCCATGCTATGCATCAAGGATGTAAACGTAAGGTCTTTTAGGCTGACTGATGGTGCCATGGATACTCTAACGACCCCCGTGACCTGCATGTACACCTCTGGAGGGCCTTCCGGAATTAGAAAACCTGAAGTAGCTGAAAAATCATGAAAAACGATCAACCCCTGTGGCACCTAACTAACCTGAGACATTCTTCTATTGTTTCTTATTGTGGCCTCAATTGACAAGGCCATTGGACTTTGTAACTGACCTTGGTCAGCCTCCTGACTCCAGACCCTATGACCCCCTCCCAGCTTGCAAAAAACCCCCCTAAACAGTAACTTCTGTAACTTTCCACTGCCTACCCCAAACCTATAAAACCAACTCCTACCCTCCGCCCTCCACTGACTCTCTTTTCGGACTCAGCGTGCCTGTACCCGGGTGAATAAACAACCATGTTGCTCACACAAAGCTTGTTTGGGGGGGTCTCCTTATTCAGAGCGCGTGTTTTAACAGTAAAGCTAACCAAAGAGCATTTTCTACCTTTGCAGACTATATGGGGAGATAGACAGCAGTGAACACCATTACTTACAGCGTAGTGCAATTCATGGTAGTATGGTAATGTAATTAATAGGAGTGGCATATGGGAGGAACCCAGGATCCATGGAACCGCAGCAGAAGGCCACATTCATGGACTTGCTCCCTCATCTGTGCTTTGAGTGTGTGGTGCCATATCGTGAAAGGAAGGTAGGGAGGCTTTGTTGTGCCTGTTGTCCCAGGTTGGGCTCCAAAGCAAACCCTGGGCAGTGAGTGGTTCTCAAACCCCAGTACACATTCTAATTAGAACCTGGTAGAGAACTTATTTTAAAAGGTCGATTCCCGGACCTGACCCTAGCAATTCGTATTCATTAGGTTCAGGATAATCTGCATTTTAAAGAAGTACCTTGGGCTGATTCTGATGCAGATGGTCCATAGACCACACTTTGATAAGGACTGTCAGTAAAGCCCCTGACAATGAGAAGGTACTACAATTTCCTCACCTTTAAGTCATTTTCTTTGAGTTAGCAGAAAAAGTGTTCATGATAGAGCCTGGATTTTGGCTTCTTCCCCAAGGTTCAGGCTTCAACTTTTTCTCTGTGCTACCAGCTAAAATAATTGTCAGGCTGTCCGTTTGACAGAAAGCACACCTATTCATGCAGTTATTCTTGATTCAGATGTTTGGGGATAAATACAGTGAAACTATAATATGTAGTCTAAATTGTTTCCTTTTAGAAAAACACCTAAATATCCTAATTAAGGCAATAAAAAGTATGAGTTAAGAGGATGCATGGGCTCTGAGGTCATTTTGCCTAAGCTTCCAATCTGAGCTTATTCCCTTAACAGCCTTATGACCTTGGGCAGTTACTTTACCTCTCTATGCCTCAATGTCCTTATATGAAACCAAGACTGATGGTAATGGCACTTACCTAAAAGGGTGTGACAGGAGTTAAATGGGTTGAGGCATACAATAAGCACTTAGCATGGCACCTGGTGGTTATAAACAAGAAATGCTGTTATTAACAAAGCTGAGTGAACAAAAATTCCCAGGAGCTAGAAATCAAGAGAGAACTGAAAACTAGAAAAGTGATCACACTGGCTGTCTCTTATAGTTACCATAGATGAGAGTGGTATTGGTGTTAGAGCTGGTCTTATTTGCACAGAGGCTCAGGCTTTAATACTGTTCAGGGGCAGGAAACAAATTCTTGAGCCTGTGGGAGGTGGCATGTTGGCACTGAGATGTCAATCTAAAGCCAGGACCCTGGAAGGGCAATGTCCTTTAAAACATTGCATAAAAAAATCAATCCCTAGCAGAGAAAAATGAGAGGAAAGCATGTTTATCTTTAGCTCAGGAGGGGGAAATGTCTCCCTTAAGAATTCAGAGCCGCTGGCATGAACCTTTCATGTGTTTGGGGTGGAGGGGAAAATGTCTTAAGAATTCAGCCTTTCATGGGTTTGGGGTTTAAATAAATAATTCCTGCACAACCTAGAAATCCCTGGACTAAAGAAATAACATAAACTTTGGTATGGGCCAATTATACTCTGTTAGAAGCAAGCAGTTTGATTACACAGGTTTCTCCAGTTTAAAGCCCTGCTGAAGATGAGCTCACAATCTGAAATCATACAATACTGAAGGAAAAAACATAAGCAAAATTCTGCAGAGTCAACAAACAACAGGATTAGACTTTCAAGGGCCTTAGATTATACAACCATCAGAGGAGATAATTAAGTATGTTAAAATAATTAACAATATAAAATAAAGCTTAAAAAACATAAATGCATAAAATCAGGCTTTAAAAATAAATACTAGTTGTTAAATACAGTGAATTCTAAGTTTCTCTTCAAAGAATCAATATGTCAGTATATTCAATTTCCTTGTCCTTTGTTCTCCAAAGTTTACCTTCCTCGTTTTCTTCGTCTCCTTGCCGCTAGTTTTAGTAAACAAACTTCCCACCATCTCTAATTACTAGTTCACATCTGTTCCCCTGGTTACCTGCACCTATTCCTTTCTCTGAAACCACACATCCCCCTCATGGATCCCCCTCCTAACCTACATATTTAGAGTCCTGACTCATCCTAGTCACCTTCTCCATCTTGAGTCACCCCTGGTCACCTGCTGTGTCCTGAGTCACCTGGTCACCTGCTCCATCCTGAGTCACTCCTGGTCACCTGCTCTGACCTGGGTCACCTTTAGTCACCTGATCTGTAACCATCTTTCCTGCTGAAACTGCTCACCCTGCCTCTCTGGCTTGTACCCCTGCTCTCTTAAATTAGCCAATCAGAATTAGCTTAGTCTCTGCAGTCCAACCCTAGCCAATAGAGGAATGACTTAGCAGTAGGGGCTACCTGTGATAAGAACCTCTTCTCTCTTGTTCAGGTGTGCTCTTGCCATTGCTCCATCTGCAAGATGCACCCTTCTATAGAAGTAAATTGCCTTGCTGCGAAAATTTATGTTTGAGTGCTATTTCTTTTGCAGCACTGTAAATTTATTTCTAACATACCCTTTCTTGGAAATAAGAAAAATATTCATTAATTTAAAACTCAGTGAACAGATTAAATAGTAGATTAGAGATAGTTGAGAAACAATAGAAAACTTGGAGCTAAATGTGGGAAAGTACCTGGATGGAGATTGGAGATGAAAATTCTGAAAGCGATATTAGGAGACTTGGAGAATAAAATGAGAAAGTCTATCATATATTTAAGAGGACTTCCAGGAGAGAAAACAGAGAGAATGGGGTGAGGTGAGGAAATGTTTGAAGAGAAGGTGGCTGAGAACCAATGAAAGGTAAGAATGTTCAGATTCAGGCTGGGTGCGGTGGCTCACCTCTGTAACTGCAGCACTATGGGTGTCTATGGTGGGAGGATTGCTTGAATCTAGGAGCTCTAGACCAGCCTGGGCAACAAAGAGAGACCCCATCTCTACAAAAATTTAAAAATGTAGCCAGCCATGGTGATATGTGCCTGTCATAGCTACTTGGGATGCTGAGGTGGGAGGATCACTTGAGCTCAGGAGTTGAGGTTGCAGTGAGTTGTCATCACACCACTGCCCTCCAGCCTGTGTGATACAATAAGACTCTCTCTCCAAAAAAAAAAAAAAAAAAAAAAGCTTAGATTCAGGAGTCATAATGATGAACCCCAAAATAGATAAATAAAACAAAATGTTCTTTTAGATATATACTTTATAAAAGATACACACTTTATGAATATACACACTCTATACACTTTATAAAAGAAACCAGAGAGAAAAGACTGACATCTACTACAGTGGAGCATGCCCTGGGAGAAGCCATGTAGATCACATCAATGGGAGTGTTCCCAGGTCTGTGACCCAGGCATGGAGCCTGGATAACGAGGGACCCGTGGCCAGCTGATTGTGACACAGGTAGGGGCACAGGCAGAGGCTGAGATCAAGGATGCCTTTAAAAGCAGATGGAGGATTTGGACTTGGTACAGAAAACTTCAAGGAACTCTTGCATTGTTACAAGGATCCAGTGAGACAAGATAAACAGGCTTGATAACTAAAAGGCAATTTTCAAAGGATGATTTTGCAGTGACTGTGGTGTAGAAATGAAGCTATTCTGAGACTCTTTGTCTTCAACTTCAAACTGCTATTTTTTTTTTTGTTTGTTCTTTCCCTTCTTAACTTCTCTTTAATAGCACAAAGCGGTTTTGCAACAATCTGAGGTGTTTGAGAAAAGTGTTAAATTAGTTTGCACAAATGCTTGCTATTTCACTCCAGATTAGCCACCCTGTGTGCAATGTGGACAGATATTCTGGAAATGGCATAAATTATCCCACTTCGTTCACCACCTCTGTTGCTTGGTCAGGCTGACCCTACTCAGAAAAACTTCAGATTGGGCCAAACAAGGGTATTCTTTGGGCTGAGAGAATGTCCCTGAAAACTCTGATTTTATATAGAGGTTGGTATTTTTATGTATTCTCCATTTTCCTGAGCCATTGTTGACAAATGGAAAGTTGAAAAACATTTGCCCAAGAAGCCCCAATAAAGAGTCATGCATAGCCTGCCAAGAAATGTGAGTGAATTAGCAAAGGCTGGCCCAGGGAAATGAGGAAATGGGCTGGGTACCACCCAGTTCACCCCACCGCCCACCCAGAAGCTTTTATCTCATTGGCCTGTGACATGAGGACACATCTGGCTTAGGGAGCTTCGAGAGAGCTTGTTCTTCCAATACATTTTTCATTGAGTCATGACTACATGACAGACACTGTACTAAGTGCGCTGGGGACACTACAGTAATCCCAGACAAAGCGACTGCTCTCTGGAGCTTAGAATCTAGAGAAAAATGCAGATCAGTAATTAGATACAGCTCTGAAAGTATTATGTGGTGGCATTTACAAACATAGCAGTGGGGAGAAGTCATATCTGAGGCTTGCGAAGAATAAATGAGTTGCTGAGAAAAGGATATTCAAAGATGTGTACATTGTTCAATTTTTGTGGAGCACCAAAATGAGAGGTGAACTAGGAGAAATATTGCTGGAAAGTCAGGCGGGAGCCAGACCAGAAGGAATCCTGTAAGCCATGAGAAGATTTGATCTCGAGGACTTTAGGGGCATTGAAGGGTTTTGTGCAGGAAAGTAACCTGATTAGATTTTCTTTTTAGAAAGTTCACTCTGGCTACCATCTGGAGATTCCATTAGAGGAGAGAAACAGGAGGCAGGGAAATCCATCATGCGGCTTTTGCAGCAGTTGCAGGCAGAACCAGGTGGGAGTGGTGGAGTGGAAAGTGGGAAACTTAAAGAGGCGCCTCTGCAGGGGAATTGGTAGGAGTTGGTGACTGAATGTGGACTTTGAGAGAGAGTGAGGACTCAGGACCATGTTCAGGGTCCTGGTTTGAGCGTTAGGCAGATGAGAGGAAGAAGAGAGAGTTGTGGCCTTCAGTGGAGCAGAACAGAAAACATTTAAGGAAACTTAAGGCCAGCTTCACAGCTCTTTAACCTGTGCTGCCTAATGGGTCTGCATTCAGAAGGGCCCAGTGTATGCTTGGCTGGCCATCTTGAAATCTGTAACAAATTAATCTTTGAATGTGTGTTTTGTAAGTGAAGACTGATAGAACAATGGGGCATGCAGAGGAGGCATTCGCGATGTGTGTGTCCTCCTTTCCTTGCTGCTCCATTTGGATAGAACATTTGGGATGCCCTGTAAACACCAAAAATTCCAGTGGACCTACCATGCATGGTGGCTCAGGGAGACTCAAGCAGGCATAAGATAAGCATGGTCTGAAAGCTCATGGCTTTGAGTCTCTCTTAACAGAGAGATTCCCTACTCCTGTTCCCTATTTACATGACTGTGACTGCGTAAGTGGATGCTCCGCACTGTAAGGCTGTGCTTTCTGTTCAAATCAGAACTTGTTTCAAATACAGAAAGAAGGCAATGGTGATCTAAGAAACAGAACGACCAAGGAGACTTCCTTAGTCCTGTTACTTCCCTGTGTCAGCCAACCACTGTTGCTGAAACCGATGATATAGAAGGAAAGAAAAACACAGGGCAATGTGTAGTTTCTTGTCCTCTGTGTCCTTCCTTACTTCTCATTAAATTGAAGGTAGAATTTGAAATAAAATACAGAATTTTAAAAAACAGGAAAAATAAATGGAAAAGAGAATGTTGGTAGACTGCCCATTTATCAAACACACTTAAGTCTGTGCAGTATTTCTACTTTTCTGGCAAGAATGAAATACATATGCATGTATGAGCTACAAAATACAAATTGTGTAATTTCAGTGATTTTTTTTTTCAGAGACTTGAAAAATAGTCTTGCTTTATTGTCCAGGCTGGAGTGCACTGGTGCAGTCATAGCTTATTGAAACCTTGAACTCCTGAGCTCAAGTGAACCTTCTGCCTTAGCCTCCCAAGTAGCTAGGACTATATCTGCATGGCACTACCACCTCCAGCCAGATTTTTTTGTTTTGGTAGAGATGGGGTCCTGCTGTGTTGCCCAGGCTGGTCTTGAATTCCTGTACTCAAACTATTCTCCTGCCTTGGTCCCCAAAATGCTGGGATCATCGCACGGCACCCAGCCTTGAGTTAATGTTCTTATATTTGCATTTTACAATACAAACAGTCAAATTTATGCTAATAATTTAGTTTTAATTTTTCTTAGAAGGCCACTTAATGACACTTTTAGCAAATTAAAACACTATGACAGGCCTGGCACAGTGACTCATGCTTGTAATCCAGCATTTCGGGAGGCCGAGGCAGGTGGATTACTTGAGGCCAGAAATTCAAGACCAGCCTGGAAAATATGGTGAAACCCTGTCTCTACTGAAAATATAAAAATTAGCTGGGTGTGGTGGTGCACATCTGTAATCCCAGCTACTCAGGAGGCTGAGGCACTAGAATCGCTGAACCCAGGAGGCAGAGGTTGCAGTGAGCTGAAATCATGCCACTGCATACCAGCCTGGGCAACAGAGCAAGACCCTGTTTCAAAACAAACAAAGAAACAAACCCACTATGACAGTGAGAATGCAAAACGGTACAACCACTTTGGAAGACAATTTGTTAGTTTCTTACAAAGCTAAACATAATCTTAACACCTGATCCAGCAATCACACTCCTAGGTATTTATCTAAATGAGTAGAAAACTTATGTCTACACAAACCTGTGCTATAAACATGAATGTTTATAGCAGCTTTATTCATCATTGCCAAAATTTCGACATAATCACAGTGACCTTCAGTATCCATTTGTGAATGAGTAAACAAACTGGTATATCCATACAATGGAATATTACTCAGTGATAAAAAGAAGTGAGCTATCAAAACAATTAAAATAGAGGGAGGACCATTACATGGATATTGCTTAGTGAAAGAAGCCAATCTGAAATCTGTATGATTCCAACTTGATGACATTCTGGAAAAGGCAAAACCATGGAGTAAGTTATAAGATCACTGGTTTCCAGGAGCATGGGAGTAAAGAGGAGGAAAATGGATAGACGGAGCATGGGAGGTTTTTAGGGCAGTGAAACCATTCTGTAAAATACCGTAATGATGGGTACATGACATTATGTGTTTGTCAAAACCTGTACAATGTGCAGCACAAAGAGTGAACCCTGACTCAGAGGACAAGGAGCTCTGTATTTTCTGTTCAATGCCAAATGGTACAGCCACTTTGGAGGACAGTGTAAACAATGTAAACTGTGAACTTTAGTGAAAAATAGTGTGTCAATATTGGCTCATTCTTGGTCATGAATGTACCACACTAATGCAAAGGAGGAGGGGGTATATGGGAGCTCTGTGTATTTTCTGCTCAATTTTTCTGTAAAAAATAAAGTCTATAAATTGTTTTAAAAAAGGAAAAAGGAAACTTCGTCACATAGTGTATTGACTTGTGGGAGGGACTAAGAGGCTGATGGTGGCAAAAGTGGCAGCCACTCTAGAAAGTCCTCACAGAGACTCACGGGCCTCTTTTCCTGGGCTTGTGCCCCCTTCTTTGTCAACAGGGAGTGGAGTCTTCCAGGCCCCAACTGCATGCTGGCTTTTCCTTTGGGTGCTCCTCAAACTTCAGGTGGCCTTTGTCAGAACTGGTGCTCAGGTGTGCTTTGTCATGAGCAGGGGCTCAGCCCTTCCTCTCTGCCCTACCTTTGCCCATTTCAGAATTTAGGAACCATGATTTCCTTCCAAATCCATAAGAGATGGGGAGTGCCATGTTTCCCTGGACAGTAAATAACTGTCAGCACTATCACAAAGGAGACTTTAGTACCATATCTGTCACTCACCGGGTGACCTTGACCAAGTTGCTTCAGCTCTCTGGGACTCATTTGACCTAGGGGCAAGTGGAAATGACATGGAGGGAGATAAGTTAGATGATTTTCCAAGAAAAGAATCTTCGTATGTAAAAAGATATAAGGGGGCTGCTCTGGTTGAAGGCAGGGAAAGTAGAGAGAGAGGTAGCCTGGAGTCCCGACCCACCACTCACCTGTCTTCTCGACCCACTGACACCCTTGAGCTCCAGAGTTTCTAGAACCCTAGGGTAGCATGGAGCATGGTTTGAAAACTCCTGATCCACTCACCTCATTTTATAAGTAGAAAGGCAAAGGACTTGCTCAAGGTCGTACAAGTAGTAGTTGTCAGGATGGAATTAAGACCCAGGTCTCTGGACATCTAATTCCGTGCTCTTTTGCCTCACTGTTTTGCCCCAGTCCTGTTGCGGCCACTCTTTGTTTATTGAGTGGGAAACACCCTCCAAGCCCAAACATGAGCTCTGCTCTCTGGGAATGGAAACAGCAACTCACACATACATCGTTGCCACAGCCCCTGTGCCCACCCAGGGTGCCAGCAATACGATCCTGACTCTTACAGATAATGTGCTTTTATAACCAGCTATGAGATTCCTCAGGTCCCCAGGCCTCTGAGATCCTTCTCTCTGGGATCTGGATGAACCATTGGCTTAGGGTTTTAAGCAGCTTTAGCGATTGTCCTCTGCGCCCACATAGCACTTAGTTATACACAGTCCTGTCTTCTTACAGCCTCATCCTTTTGGAGTATTGGTCTTAGCTCTTCAACTGGATGCTCTACTCTGTAAGAACACAGTTTCCCTATGCCTAATTTTGTGTTCTGTACACAGTCAGTGCTTAGTTAAAAGTGCTTAATCATGCTTCTTTTCAAGGTCATTCCACCTATTCCTGCTCATAAAATGGGAAGGGGAGCCACATCAAGCAGATTTCCAGAGGCAGGCCAGCTTTTGACCTATCAGAAAGGGCAGTGCACCACCTCGCCCAGCACGGGAAAAGTGAGAAGGAGCTAGGCTGGCGGCCAATGAGGGTGTACTACAAATAGCAGCTACAAGTTTGGAACATTTACTGTGCCGAACCCTGCATATGCGTGATCTCCGGGAATGCTAAAAACAACCTTTGATGGACTTATTCCATTGTACAGATGAGGGAACTGAGACGTAGAGAAGGGAGGTAACTTGGAAAAGGCTTTAGAACTATGATTAGAACTCAGGTCTAGCTGATGCCAAAGGCCAAGTTCATAATCTCCATATCAGGATGACCAAGGGCAATATAATTGGGTTTTTAAAAGTCCTAGGGTAACATAAAGAGCTTGCATATCATGTTTTTTGATAGCCCTCCGTAGGGTCTTTCACCTTCAGCCCACCTTGCTTTCTCTGCCTCCTGCAGCCTCCTAAAGAATTTAGGACACTGAATGAAAGGGCTAGAGAATGTAGAGCCAGTAAGTTTATAAACCAGACATGTCAACATGGCCCAGAGACCTCCAGGGATGGGAAAAGGGGGTCCTAGCTGAGACATGAACGCAGGCAGAGATGGGGTGACAAATACAGAAAATCTGCATAGTTTATCCCAAGGGCCTGTAAATCTGGAACACTGTGATCTAACTGGGCACTCCCGCAGATACAGACATGATGAGTAAAAGCTTCTCTCCAAGACCACCCAGGACTCGGAGAGTGTAGCAGGATGGTCACTCAGGCGTCTCGGAGTAGGACAGAGGATTTCATTCCCAGATCCAGATCCATCACTTATTAGCTGAGAGGCTTGGGGCAAATTGCTTAACCTTTAAACTTTACTTTGCCATCTGTATTATGGAAATAATAATACCAGCTTCAGAAGTTCGCAAATATTAAATGAGATTCTTTTTGGGTGCTTAGCTTTGTATCTGGCATAGGATAAACTTTCAAGACATAGTTACTATTACAGGCATTGATCGACTGACGACCTATGCAACTTACGACCATTCGACTTTACGACCACAATTGCTAGCCACGACTGCTCCGCGTCTGGCAGCGCGAACGTTGCCCAGCTGGGCGTACAACAGTGCGGACCAGCTTCCGGCAGCACTACCATCTCCGTGTGCATATAGCCTACTCAACTTACGACCAAATCATGTTACGACCGGTCTGTCGGAACCAATCGTGGTCGTAAGTCAAGCACTAGCTGTATTGTGGCTGGGCGTGGTGGCTCATGCCTGTAATCCCTGCACTTTGGGAGGCCAAGGCAGATGGATCACCTGAGGTTGGGAGTTCAAGATCAGCCTCACCAACATGGAGAAACCCTGTCTCTACTAAAAATACAAAAATTAGCTGGGCGTGGTGGCACAATGCCTGTAATCCCAGCTATTCAGGAAGCTGAGGCAGGAGAATGGCTTAAAACCTGGGAGGTGGAGGTTGCTATGAGCTGTGATCTCTTCATTTCATTCCAGCCTGGGCAACAAGAGTGAAACTCCGTCTCAAAAAAAGAGAAATAGTTATTATTATTGTGATTATTATTAACGTTATCCAGGTTTATCAAGTATATGTAATTTTTTTGATAGCCAAAGTGTTGGATAGCTCCTGCTGGGACCCAAGTCAGTCCTTAGGCTCAGACTCCAGTGCAGCAATTAGCTTTTGCTCTCTGACCCACAGCCTATGCAGTATTTGTGTATCTGGAGGTCTACCAGTTGGTGGGAAGACAACTGTGTAGGTTCTGTCCAGATAGATCGGGTGTAGCTCAGACAAAAAATTACCCAGCCCCAGAACCTCTAATCTTCTTTAAAACAATCGAAACTTCCAGAATATCCAAAATCATGAAACCAGTTTTAAAGTTCTTGCTAGTCTGAAGGCAACCACAGACTCAAAATATTGAACTAGATTATTCTGTGGAAACAGAAATCCTCTGGCCCAATCTCTTCTTTTTACAGATCAAAGCACTGAGTCCTAGAGAGAGGGTGACACTTTGACTAGACCTACAGATTATTAGAGTTGCAAGGCAGCAAACAGCCCCATGAAGGACTGAGAATGAGCCAAAAGTTTCTGTGGATCTGTGGCCTCCAATTGACACCACTGGGGCAAAATGCAGCCCCAAGGGAGAGAATACTGTAACTCATTCTGTAAGATTGATCAGAGATTAAATGAGTACCTACCAAATACCAGTATCTTCACTGATGCTAAGCTTCTCCCTCTTGCAAAGATAAACAACAAATTCAGTTGCTTCCTAAGCTGATGGCAGTGGAAAAGTGTGAGCCCCCCAATGTGCTGTGGCAGGAAATAACATACCCGGTGTCCTCAATCAGAGGACATATCTGACAGTCCTTTCATCTTTAAGGCAAGAGATTGTGTTTCTCATAAGATAATCTTGCTTTCTCTGATTTCTGCAGAATGTTTTATGTGCTATGGAAAAAAAGTAATACAATCAGGAACATGTCAAGGTCATAGGAAGACATATCATGATTATCCACACAGGCCCTCTCACCTTCGGTGGACTGGAGATGGACCGTCAGTAGATCAACTCCTCAGAAAGTCTTCATGGACTTTATTCTGTTTCCTTTTGTGGGTCCTTAGGAAATAGAGAGTGTTAGAATAACTACATTCTAAACTTCATAGAATAGAGATTAGGGATGAAGCAGAGAAGGAAAAGACCAAGGTATAATTGATATCTTAGCAATAAGCAGATCACCCATGTCGCTATTCAGTATCTACAGTTTTCTTTTCCCCTTCCTCCCTCCCTTCCTCCCTTCTGTCTTTCTGTCTTTCTTTCCCTTTCCTTTCTTCCTTTCCTTCTTTCTCTTTCTCTCTCTTTCTTTCTTCTTTCTTTCTTTCTTTCTCTTTCTTTCTTTCTTTCAGACAGAGTCTTACTCTCTTGCTCAGGCTGGAGTGCAGTGGCACAACTATGGCTCACTGCAGCCTCAACCTCTGGGCTCAACAGGTTCAAACAGTCCTCCCATTTCAGCCTCCCAAATAGCTGGGACTACAGGGATGCCTCACCATGCCTGGTCATTTTCTTTGGTTGGTCATGCGGTCAGGAAAGGCATCCTCCTTCTTGAAGACATCTTCCTTAGCAGCCTAGACAAACTGAAATTTTTTCTGAGATGAAAGTTCTGTTTTTCTCAGGAGACACACTCTGCCACCCACCTCCCCAACTAGAGACTGAAGGTGACTTTGCCTCACACCTTTATTGTATCCCTACAGGTCCCAGCCCCAAGGATGGAAGAGAGAAAATGAACCTAGGTATAGCCCCTTGGATAGAAAAAAGGCTGAAAGTTTGTTCTAGTTTGAGAGAAAAAGTATTATCAGTAGGGGAAGGGAGGGGAGTTTTGTTGGGATGTGATAAACATGCAGGAGGTTGCTTATAAGGTGTTTCTTAAAAACGACCTTTCAACAAGCTGCTCATCTATCTATTGCTGTGTAACAAGCCACTTCAAAACTTAGCGGCATCAAACAAGTATGATTTATTAGTTTTCCCAGTTTTGTGGGTTTACCGGACAAGTCTTCTCTTGGCCTCATGGGGCTCCCTGTGCAGCTGCATGCAGCAGGCAGGTTTGTGCAGCCGGCTGGGCCTCCGTCTCCTTTATCCTGAAGGAGGCTAGACCTCGCCTCTAAACATGGCAATGACAGTGTCCCAAGAGAGTGAAAGTAACACCTGCAATGCAAGGTCCCTTAAAGACTAGCTCAGAGATTCACAGTAACATTTCTGCCATATTCTATTGATCGAAGCCAGCCACAAGGGCAACCCATGTCCAAAGAATGGAAAAATAGATTCCATCTCTCAATACATGCCCCTGTAAACTGAGAGAGTGACGGGGGGAGGGTACAGGGGAGGCATGATTCATTAGTAGCCATTATCATAATGTTGGACCCTAAAGGGACCCAGGATAGGAACCCAGGACTCTTGACTTCCAGTCCAAGCCTCTTCCCACTAAGCCAGTTATTCCAAACCATAATTGGCTCCCTCCCAACTGCCAGGAGATTCAAGCACATCATGCTGCTAGATGTGGCTTCCAGCACCAGCTTAGTCAAATGTAGAGGACCATCTTCTGCCCTAAGCAACCCTGGCTTCTTCCCACCCTTCCCCAAGCTTCCCATACCAGTTTTATACGTGCCATAGACTCAAAACATTCTCCATAAATTTTAACAAGTTGGTGAGGAATTTCTACAGTGGAAACTCTTTTTCCCTTTGCGGCAAAATGGAATAACAGCAAACAACGTCGGAGGACGACTTGTCTGGGAGAGCAGCCATTTTTAAAGACGGGCACATGAAGTCACAAACAGTCGCAGCTGATCTACTTTGCAGCGTTGCCATACATGCCTAACTAAATATTGAAATCCCAGGACAAACTCACTGTGCATCATGTTCCAGAAACTAGCTTTGCAAACAGTCTTTTCAGATGTGTACATTTCGTGTATTGGAGGCATATGATATATATTTTTTCCT